ATGACAGATGAAAGAAAAAAAAAGACATGAAACAGATACAATCTTTGTTTGTTTGTTTTGATTTCAAGATAAGGAACAATATAGACTCATAAAAAAAAAATCCACACACACACTCCCAAGTACGTATATATATATATATATATACGCTTTTCTTAAAGAATAACAACACGAACCAAAAAAAAAAAAAACAGTAGAGGGAGCCAAAAAAAAAGACGGTAAAGTTGGAATGGTATCTCTGTATAGAATATGAATGAAAAAGAAAAACACAAGGATGATTTACGGAAACATCTCACTAGCTCAGTTATTGGATCTTATTCGAAATAAATGATCAAGAGTAAATGAACGAACAAAGAAAGAAAAAAGAAATATGTCGTTTTTATAAAATGGCTAAGATCAATCACCGAGCTTTCGTTAATGAGAATAATAATAAATATAAATTGGTTCGTTCGATAAATATTTCTATATTTATATTCTAAGATGATAATGATGATGAATCTTTAGCAACATATGTAAATAGATTATGTGCTGTTGCAATAGCAATAATATCATCTGTTGGATGATAAGCACAATGAAGAATTTTTTTTGAAAATTCTAAATTATCTGGATTTATTTCATCACGACGAGTACGACGAGCTGATTGAAGAACTTTTTTAGATTTTAATAATTGTCGAGGACGTATTGCTTGTTCACGTGATGATTCAAATATAACATCTTTTTGTGTTAAACGTGATGTCATTTTAAATAAATTATGATAAGAACCAGTTAATAAATGACTTTTATTTAAATAAATTATTTATTTATTTATTTATTTATTAGAAAATAAACTTACTCATCACGTGGTGACCAACAACATTGAAATTTATCAAAAATACAATCATTTTCATATAAAACACATAATTTTGTTCTAAGATATTCATGTATTGGATATATTTGAAGAGGTCTATTATTCATTTGTAAATCCCATACTTTTAAATTAAGAAAATCTCTTGTTAACATATATCTTCCTGAATGACTAAATTTAATATCACTTATTGATGATATTATTTCAGAAAAAAAACTTCGTGTTGTTGGATCTTCATTTTCTTCAAATACTAATTTTTATTTATTATTTTAATAAACAAAATTAAAACAAAATTAAATTAAACTTTACTTCAAATATTTTACCTTTACAATGTCGATCACAAAGTGCTGATTGTCGCATATCGCAAAGACGTATTATACCTCGAGAACTACTGTATACAAATAAATTACATTCACGTGGATGAAATTCGGCACCAGTTATCACTTCAGTTAAATCTTCCATATTTGATGGTTTTATATCAACAATATCTAAACATTTTACTTTTTACAATACATATATCAAACATATTTTAAAAATATTTAAATTTATCAACGAAATTAATCAAAAAACTAGAATTTAACCATTATTCGGATCTATTCTTCAATCTAATTATTTTATCAATAAACTTTACAAGAAAAACAAAAACAATTCAAATTCTTAGATTAAAAAAAAAACCTCTAGAGTTTCTCTATTTTATCTCAATAAAATGTCAGATTAAGTTCAACCAACAAAAAAGAAAACGAACTAACTAGATTTTACAAGTCAATTCATATATAATAGAATCTATTCAAATATCGATCAGACATTAGGAAACAGACCTCCACAGGACGATCAAAAAGTTATCCAATATAGTCTCATTCTCTCATTTGGACGTAGTTTTTTCTTTGTCAAACTACGATTGAAAACAGTCCATCGAATTTATACTTTTTTCTTCAATTTCTATTATTTATTTTACTAAACATCTCTTTGAAAATAATATTTCCATGGGAACATTTTTATCACAAAGATAAACAATCAAGAACTCAATAAGTACCAGCCATCGAAACAAGCCGCTGGGCCCGATGATTTTATCCTTTCTTGACATAAATTTTTCTCAGATTTGCCTCATCCCCGAAGGAGATTACGGTGAAACCTTCTCCATACTACCTCCTCCCCCCCCCTCTTGGCCATCATCTTTTATAAAAGCCGAAAAAGATGAAATAACTGCCTGTCGAGAAAAAAATTCTTTGTAAACGAAATTTGTTTCGGGCCCGGAACGGGCTGAACAAACATTGAATCGGATCGGGCGGGTCTAAATAATGTTCGGACCATTTTGGGCTGGGCCATAAAAAAGTGAGCCGATTTCTTGTCCCGCAGACGACTAGTTTCGCGTAGCTCTGTTAAGAAGTTTAATACCAAAGATTGAATTAAATCTTTCGGTGAAAATATTTGAATGATAAATATGATTAATAAAAAAGATAATTTATCTATGAATAGTTGAATGTTAGTATGTTTAAATAAATTGATTTTGATTTAATATAAAAAGAAAAAAAACCTACTAAAACTTTGATCTGTAACTTCAGTATGCCATAAATTAATTCGTAAATCATCGGCAGATAAAAAAGTTTCTTGATCACTATTTAATGATATTGAATTAATATGATATGTATGAGCATTACCAAAAACACGTTTAGGTGTTGCTTCAACCATTAATTCCATAGGTCTAGAAAATAAAAAGAAAAGAAAAATTTCGATTTTAAATAAATAAAATCTAAATAACAAATTTCACCTAATAACTGGTATACGTAAATTAGTTAGAGAATTCGATGAACGAATTGTTCCATTATCATCACGTAAATTATATCCTTCAGCTCGTTTAGTTTTTTCAGATATTTTCCATAATTTAACAGTTTTATCTAAACAATATAAAACAAAAAAATAAAAAATAAAAAAAATATTTCTTCAAACCATTCGTCGATAGAAGAAAATGTGCAGGATTTTTTCGTTTAAGCCAACGTATCTGATTGATTTTTTCTTCAATTTCCAAACTTTTTAAATAATCAAATTCCGGTTCATGAGAATGAAATGTTATATAAACATTATATTCATAACGACGTGATGAACTGTTTCTCTAAACAAAATTAATCAATTTTACTTTTTTTTACAATCTACATTCATTTTAAAAACTAATCTATATATACTGCTTATCAACACCAAATAGATAAAGACGCAGACTTTTTTCTAGATATTTATAACTCATTTCCTTTTACATAATGTATTTTATTTTCACTGGAAAATAATGAGTGAGGGAACTTCCTTAGTCAATTGATTATCATATGTAATAATTGATATATTTTAATTTTAAAAGGTATTGACTATATTTTTCATGTTGGTTTAATTGAAAATTTTCTCATTATTTAACAAGCTTATTGAATTATAGAAAAAAGAAAAAGATTTTTTATTTAACTAAAATATGTTCAATATTGTTGAATTACAAATGATATTGATCTACTTCAATTTAAATATTCTATTTTAGAAAACGAACAAATAGAAATATATATATTTTCACAGTATCTAGAAAACGGCTACCTATTCAGATTGGATATACTCCTTCACCGTTAAACACTACTCTCACAGTCAGTTTCTCTAGAATATAAATAACAATTTAAACCAAACGAATTATCACAAATTTCATTTCATATCAAATCACCTAAGTAAAGTTAGCTTTATATTCGAGTTTTTTCTGTCCGGATTCGTTTTTTGACTTGGATTGGCTCTCTACTTGTTTGGGTTATATGCAGAATTCAATTCTCTATCGAATGATGCTATTTTCGACTGTGTCGTCGAGCAAAAATCTCATTTATATTCAAAAGACTGATTTTTTTGGGGACTTTTCCAAAAGTATTTCGCGTCTGGATTCGGTCTCTCACTTGGGTTAGCTCTACAAATGGTTGGGTTGAGTTCGAAATTCAATTCTCCGTCGAATAATACTAATTTCGACTAGGGTTGTCGGGCAAAAATCAGTAGATGACGGTAACAGTGTTAGGTCGAAATTAGTATCATTCGATGCAGAATTTAATTCTGCATATAACCCAAACAAGTAGAGAGATAACCCAAGTCAAAATATGAATCCGGACAGAAAAAGGTCGAATATGGAGGTAACTTTACCTATGTTATCAAATGAAAGTTTCTAGTTAATCATTATGTAATTACTCAAGTTTAAAGGATAATAATGATTAGTTATTATAAAATAAACTATTGATTTATGGTTATAGAATTAATTTGAATTATATATCTATATATATTTAAATCTGAATTACTTGTTGTTCACGTTGAAAAACAACAATTCTGCCGCCTTTATCACCGACAGCAAGTAATTCTCCATCTTCATTAAATTCCACACTTGATATTAAATCAGCTAAAATAAAAATCAACAAAGAATAATTAATATAATTAATAAAAACAAAAAAGGTAAAACCTTCTTGTACTTCATCATCAACTGGTCCTTTAACCTGTGATGGATACCAATCGAGTAGATCGCTATCATTGCTACTACCTACAATTTATAATAAAAATTTTATTTAAAAAAAAATTCCTTTTTTTTTTATTATTAATAAAAATGTAAAACAAACTCTGCATATCAACATCAGTTGAATAATTGTTAGCCAGTTTTATTATTTTAATGAAGATTTATTTAAATAAATTATAATTAAATATAAATTTATTTCTTTTTGAATAGGTGATTTTCTTTTTATATAAATAAATATAATAATTGGAATGAATTTATAGAAATAAAAGTGAGGTATGACATCGAATAGAAGTTTAATAGAATAATACGAACAAGTTAGACGATAAAACAAAACGAGTTAAGAGAGAAAAAACGAGAGAGAGAGAGAGAGAGAGAGGCAACAAAAAAGCAACAAACAATATTTTCCTTGTTCTTAACCTTTAAATATTTCTATTCGTCTATTTAATTGACCAATTGATTATTATTTCATTTAACATTTTTAATGCAATTATGCATATTCACTTTTTTCATTTCGTCGAGGTTTATTCTCTATTAGAATGATGATCAGTTACATTTAATCATTTTTAAAATTATATATCTATTCAACTATATGTTTTTTATTTATTTTAGAGACTTTTTTTAGAATCATTATTATTTAATTCAAGAATAAAAATGCGTTACGCAGCAGCTTATGTTCTTGCAACACTTGCTGGAAATACAAATCCTGATGTCTCAACAATATCAAAAATTCTTGGAAGCGTCGGAATTGATTGTGACAATGCAAAAGCACAAAAAGTAATCGATGCATGTAAAGGAAAAAATGTTGATCAAATAATTGAAGAAGGTACCAAAAAATTATCTAGTTTACCTGTTGGTGGTGCATCGGTTTCATCAACTGAAGGAGCATCAACAACAACTGGAGGAGCAGCAACTACTGCTAAACCTGCTGCTAAAGAAGAACCAAAGAAAGAAGAAAAGAAAAAAGATGAATCAGATGAAGAAGGAGATGATATGGTTTGTTCACAAAAACAAAAACCATTATAACCAATTAACTTTTTTTATTTATTCTTTAGGGATTTGGTTTATTCGATTAAAACAACAAACAAATTACGCATTATAATCATCATTCGCATTTTTATGTGTGCGTGTGTCTTTTCTATTGATATTATAAAAAAAAAGAAGAAGAATATAATTATATATTGACATCAATAACAAATATTTCTTTTTTATTTATTAAAAAGAAAAGAATATTACTTATTATTCAATCATTATATAAATGATATCCCTTTAACAAAATAATATTATATATTTCAAATATCTGCTTTCAACTTCATATTGACAAATATCTACTTTTGATTGATACTCCCTCAACATTTAGAGATTATTTATTCGAACAATTTTCATTTAAGTAAACTGTGTCTATTTAACTTTTTTTCTTTGTTTCTATGAAAAAGTCAGTTCGCCCATCCGTGAGTTATTCTTGATTCATCAATCACTTTACGGAGGAAAATCTCATCTTTAATTTTATGCTAAAAAATTGCTTATTGGCTTAGTCAACCATTACGGAATTTTATTTTTTCATATTATAACACCTAAACTGGATCGTCAAAGTTTAAGACACGTTTATTTTTCAAGTTTTTCATCTCTAATGATTAGCTAGGTCAGATTGAAATAGTCATTTTTATAGCTATTCAAATTCTCTATCCAATATAATATATATATCAAATTTTAAAAACAAACTTTATCAACAGAGTTTTATAGAAAATCGTGACAGAAGGATTTTTCAATATGACCATCTCAACGAGCACAAAATCAAGGGTCGAACAGCTCTCAAAGATATTCCCTCATAAAGTTCTAACCATTAGAAAAAATGCGGTTTTAATCGAATTTTAGGGATCTTTTTTACAAAAATCAACAAATAATGGTAAGAACTTTGTGAGGAAATATCTTTGAGAGCTGTTCGACCCTTGATTTTCTGCTCGTTGAGATGGTCATATTGAAAAATTCTTCTGTCACGGTTTTCTATAAAACTCTGTTGATAAAGTTTGTTTTAAAAATTTGATATATATTCTATTTGATAGAAAATTTCAATAGCTATAAAAATGACTATTTCAATCTGACCTAGCTAATCATCAGAGATGAAAAACTTCAAAATAAACGTGTCTTAAACTTTTGCGGCCCAGTTTATATTTGGTGATCAATGAAAGGAAACTATGAAATTTTGATTATAGAACGTGACTATTTAATTGTACTATTAAGAAAAATTTCATTGATTTTCTCATTTAGCTAGAGTGGAGTTATTTAAAAACTAGTCACCATTATTCAATTTGAAAAAGTTGAATATTTTTTGAGGATGTGGTGAGAGTTTAGCATCTTTGAGAAAATGAGGTTACTTTTTTAAGATGTATCAATGTATTAAATAATAAACTAAAATTACTGTCCCTTATGGAATTTCCTTTTTATTTTTGACGTTTTAATGAGGAAGATTTGATGGATCTTGAATTGTAAATAATTATGATAAAAGTTGATATTTTTTCTAATCGACGAATAGCACAAAGAGAGTTTTTATTCTTTGAAGTGAATAATATTAAAATTGGTGTCCTTTCGTTGAATTATATTTGGAGACATTGTTTAATAAGATGATTTCTTTTTAATAAAATCTTTGATGATTATAAGATTTATTTAATTAATTTTAGAATAATTATTATTGATATTATTTCATTTAATTTAACTGTTAGATGTTTAAATATTTGGAAAATGTTGAGATCTATTCAAATATAAAATAAATATTCAATAAATAATTGATTTTATTAAACGATATTAATATTTAGTTAAAGTTTTGTTCGAATATTTTAATCAATATAATTAATTGATCATAAAAATGATAGATTTAATCAATATATTAAGTTAATCAGAATTTATTTTAGAGAAGAATATTTTTATAATTAAAGATAAAAATTTGTTTAACAATTAAATAAGAATAAAAATAAAATAAATGACTAATCATCAATCGTAGATCTCAATATTTTTATTTTCGTTGGTAATTATGTTTGTTAAGGAGAAAATCATTTGTTGGATCTTCTTCGATTCAATCGAGATTGATCAGATTCCCAAATATGTTCATAATTGAGATATTCCTAATCTTACACCTTCATATATTATAAAGGTAAGAGAGTCAATCATATCTCTACCATCAATCATTGGATATCTCAATAAAATGTTAGGGATGGCTCAATATATATTACTAAGAGAAATAATTCAAATATCTTTGCTTCTCTTCGTTGGTATAACGACACTTTTTGATTAGTAGTTATTCAATCTGGTTCAAACTTTTGCTTTTTTCATAGGGATAACCTTAATAGATAACGGGTCAATCGAAAGTTTTCAGAGTAAATGTTTGTCTGCTTGAAAGTTTCTTCGACGAGTCAAAATCTATGATTTATTATAAGAATTTTCTGCTCTTTCTGAATATGATCTTAGAAATCTTGTCTTATGGTTTGTTCGAGAGTAGTCAAATAATCTTTGAAAAGTCAAAAAAATTAGTTTCGACAGTAAATTTTTCTGAAGATTTTTCTATTTTGACTATTGGAATGCGAAACTAATAGTTAGAATCTTTAAATAATATATCAACTTGTAGAGCAGATAATACCCTAGAAAATCTATTAGTTCTACGTTTTATAAGTCACTTCAATTTTCGTTTTTTCCTAAAGCCTTTTTTTTGAAAAAAATCGACTTTTTCACGAAAAAATGCTTTATGTAGAAAGAAGCTCTTGAGAAAATGTCTATAAGTTCACGTTGCTTAAAAGTAAGAGGTTAATTCAAAATGACATTTTGTAAACAAGTGTCGATTCTAGAAAATGAGCAACTCCGACAAGTTTTATCATCTTCGGACAGGAAGTTATAAGTATCATCAAAAACCTCTTGGTACATTATTCAAGTCAATTTTTGAGCCTTTCAAAGGTTATCTCACTACTCTCGAACAAATCTTAAGAGAAAATTTCTAAGATCATATTTGAAAAGAGCACAAAATTCTCCTAATAACCTACAGATTTTGACTCATCGAAAAGAGTTTGAAGCGGATCAAAAATGAACAAAGATTTTCTCTGAAAAGTTTCGATTGATCTGTTATTCGTGTTAAATAATATAGATATTTATCCTCACTAAATAACTATCAGCCATTATTATCTAGGAAAACAATGATTAATAAAATTTGTTTTTATGTCTTTTTATTTAAAATGATAAGTGAAATAAATCAATCAAAGGTTTAAGACATCAACTTTTCTTCGTTTATCAGAGGTTAAATTCCTTTGATGATTTCAAGAATAAGAATTTAATTAATAATAAGATTTGTTTATGTTAACATCTATTGATAAAAACTTTGAGTAAACTTCTATTAGTTAAAACTAAATGAGTCTATTTTATTGAATCGATACCGATATATTCTATTGAAATATATTACTCTTATTTATGGTTGATATTCGAAAATAAATTCATTTAGTTTTATAAAATCTATTCTAATCAATAATTATCTTTGTGTTTCGTCCCTATTAGAAACAATTTAAATGTAATTTCCTATTTTTTCATGTGTTTTTTTTTAAATTTTATAGACAATATTCATCCAGTCATATCAATCGTAGTTTAGAATTCTATAATGAAGACATTGATCTACTTGTTGAAATATCGAAATTCTTTTCTATTCATTGTTGAAAATCAACTAAATAAGAAGAAAACGTTTTTTTTTCTTTTTCTTCAGATAGATTGATTTTGAATGTTTCTAGGATTGTGAATAGACACATTTTTTTATATTTATTCAATTATTTATCTATCAATCGTAGTAAAAAAAAGTGATTTGAATTTATATTAAATCAATATATTATGTCTAAGGTCAATCAAACAAATAATCAATCTATATATTTGCTTTTCTTTATAAAATAAAATAGTCAAAAAACAAAAGTTGATTTATCTATATAATCAGATTGAATTTTATATCTTTATAGAAATTGATCTATTATTATATGAAACTATTTCCTATAATGATCGATTGATAAATAATGGTTAATATCTTAGAAGGTAGAATATAAAGATAAAAGATAATTCGATTATTTATCTTAAATAATATAAAATAGAAATCAATAAGAAAATAAAGTTGGAAAGACGATATATTATTTAAATAATGAAATCAATGAAACAAGGAAAAAATGATTCTAATGTTTTTAATAATATATTGAATAAATTTTTTTTTTCAATTCATATCAATTATAATACTTTTCAACAATTAATATAAAACTTGAGAGATTTTTATTTTAAATATAACAAAAAAAACAAGAAGATTATCAATATTTGGTTAACAAATAGACAAGATATTCAATTTATATTTGAATAGATCACTTTGGAAGCACATTGTTTAGATTGAAAATGAAGAATTTTTCATATAAATCTATATTGTTTAAAGGTTAACAAATTTATATCATTTTTATTTATCTTGAATAATCTAAGAAGGTTTGATTGTGAAAATTTCTAAAAATTGAAAAATAATAAAATTAAGATAAAATAATAATATATATTAATATTGTCATATTAAATAATAAGTTAATAGAAATATTCTTATTCAACTAAATAATAACATCTATCTTAACAATTTCAAACTAATATTTTTCTTTAATCAATATTCAACATTGATTTATTTTATCTTTCTTCCTCAAAAATCGATCATTCAGTTAGATACATGACATTTTCATCAGTAGGAAGACTAACCTTAAATATTAAGACTTAAAGGATGACATTCGACGAAAATATTCAAAAAATAACTATCAAAAATAGATTATTTTCAAAGCGAGAATTGTTTCTGGGTCTTCATTCTATATAGTTTATTTATTTTTCTTTTTAATAAAATATCAACGTTTAGACAATGAGAGAGATTTTTTTTCTCTCATTTATTTATTTTAATGCAAAGAAAAATTGAAAAAATCTCAAAATATAAAAATTATCTTTTATTCGATCGTAACAAAGGTTTATTAAAAAAAAAAGACTTTGCCGTTCCGTGCATCTTGACATTACATTAACTGAGAAAAAGGAATTTTTTTTTTCAAGCAGA